TGTGTGTGTGTGTGTGTGTGTGTGTGTGTGTGTGTGTGTGTGTGTGTATTACAGTTAAGAGGCCTTGATTACCTTCTGGTTTGAGGCTGTTCTGCCACTGGATAGCTGAGTTCTATTTAAGTGAGATGTTAATGCATTTGTACAAAGAAAAAGCAGCTACGTGGCACCGTGGGAGAAAACTCTCTCCCAGGTTGGAAGTGTGGCAGCGACACATGGATGTGACCCTACTGTTCAGCATGCAGACTCTGACCTGCTCTGTTTCCAACCTGCACCAGTCTGCCTTTCCTTAGGTAGCCCCCAGGCCCCCTGCCTCCAGGCAAATGCCATGTTGTTGCTAGGCTTAGCACAGACACCCAATTTACCTTCACTGTACTACAGATCAGAATTCCAGAGCTCCTAACATCTACCAACCTTAACTTCCCAGTAACAGGGATTATAGTCCTGTACCGCCATATCCAGTAACATAACTACATATAAATTGAAGTACCTGAAGCTCCATCTCACACCCGTGTAATTAACAAAAATAAGTAGGAATGGTAAAACCCATGCTAGTTTGAGCCTGAGGCAGCTGGGTGGTATGGTGGATAGCACACTGGGTATGGAATTAGGAAGACTCATCTTCCTGAGTTCAAATCTGGCCTCAAACACTTACTAACTGTATGACCCTCGGCACATCACTTGTTTATCTCAGTTTACTCATCTGTAAAATGAGCTGGAGAAGGAAATGGCAAACCACTCCAGTATCTTTGAAAAAGAAAGGAACTTTTCACAAGTTTCTTATACAAGGGCAGGTATACTATCATGCTTCAATTTGATTGTAAAGATAAAGTTAGTTAACACAAAATTTTCACTCTCTTCACTTTCCCTTCATATGACTCTTTCTTCTCCAGTGCTTCTGACCATTCTACCACTCTCTTCTCACAGTAAAACATGGCTGAAGACACTCAGAGAAACTTTCGTTCAGTATATTATGAGAAAGTTGGATTTCGTGGTGTTGAAGAAAAGAAATCATTGGAAATACTCCTCAAAGATGATCCTCTGGGTGAGTTTTAAAGGATAATTCAAATAAATGAAGATAAACTATCCTATGAAAACCTTAAAAGACACCTAGCCACCACTGCCACTTGATATGTTTTGGGTGGAAGGATAGCCAAAGGTTTGTACCTTAGAGGGAAATTTGAATGGTCAAACTTTTATTTTTAATCTTATTTTGAGGAAGAGTATAAATTTTATTTTTAAAAAGGAACTTTTAAGTTCCTTTTAAGTGCTTTATTCTTTCTTACTAGACTGTTATCTTGTTTTCTTTATCTGATGTACCCATCACTGTTGCATCTAGACATGTACTTTGTTTGTTTGTTTGTTTTTGGACTGGGTTTTCCTGACCAGAAATGCAGGGCTTCTCACAGGCCCAATTCCACTCTGATCTGCATAGGATCTTTGGCTTTCTCTGTTTTCCAACTTGCTTTGGTTTGCCCATCTTCAGGAAACCTAGTGGGGCCCCCCTTCCCACTCCCAGGGACTTACCTGTTTATTAAGTGAGGACACCTGATTGGCTTAGCCCATTGAAAATCTGAACTCCTGAGCTTATGATATCCTTCAGCTTAAGCCTCCAGGAATAGAGATTACAGGTATACATCTCCACACCTGACTGGACATATACTTTACAAAACCTGTTCTCTAATAACAGTCATAATACAAACATGAACAATAGCTAAAGAATAAAAATCTACTATATTCCATCCTTATGGTTGGATAGAGATATTATTTTTATACTGTTGTAATCAGTTTGTAGATTGAATTTTTTTCCTTTATATTGTGTTGCTTATATCTGGATATCTTCATATTTGTCATTCTTTACAGTAAGTTACTCATAATATGGTCAGCTTAGCCATTCTCTGCATACTAGGGATATACATACTTACACACACACACACACACACACACACACACACACACATTTGCTTTTGTGTAAGGCAGCCATAATGAGAGGCAGTAAGTGTGGAATTATGTGTAGATGTCAGCCTTGAGGTCAGGAAAACCCTTCTCAAGGTTTTCTTTCTGACACATACTGGCTATGTGATACTCTAATACCCTAGGGTTACAAATTACAGATAATTTCCCAGTCTGAATTGGTAAAGGACATTTCCTTGCTAGAAATTCCCCATGTTGATGAAATAACACACACACACTCACAGACACACACACACTCACAGACACACACACACACGCAACCCCAAAACAAAAAATAATACCTCCTCCCCCCAACCATGTGTATAATACAGCTGAAAACATCTTTGTAAAATTGGTCTTTACATTTTTTCCCCTTGGGCTAGACCCTGCAGGAGGATTACTGGGTCAAAGGATGTGACTGGTCTTACGGTTCTTGCTTGGGTGTTGCCCATATATGATATTGTGAATCTGATAGAGTAATCCCCAGGCAAATGGCTACCTCTTCTCTAAGACTATACTAATTTGCCCAGTCACCAGCTATAGATGAACAAATGTGTATTTTTCATTCCTCCGCCTGAGGGACACTTGTTGCGTCATTTTAGTTATCTCCAACTGTTTTTGACCCCATTTTGGGGTTTTCTTGGCAAAGATACTAGAGTGGCTTGCTATTTCCTCCAGCTCATTTTACAAATGAGGAACTGAGGCCAGCAGGGTTGGCCTAGGGTCAGACAGCTAGTAGGTGTCTGAGGCCAGATTTGAACTCAGAAAGATGAGTCTTCCTCATTCCAAGCCCAGTGCTATATCCACCATCTCACCTAGCTGCCTCAGACTCACCCTAGCATGGGGCTTTATCATTTCTGTTTATTTTTGTTAATTACATGGGTGTGAGATGGAGCCTCAGGTACTTCAGTTTATATGTAGTTATGTTACTGGACATGGACATGGACACAGGACTATAATCCCTCTTACTGAGAAGTTGAGGCTGGTGGATCTTAGAAGCTCTGGAATTCTGATCTGTAGTGAAGGTCAATTGGGTGTCTGTGCTAAGTCTAGCAACAATGTGGCATTTGCCTGGAGGCAGGAGGCCTGGTAGCTCTCTAAGGAAAGGCAGACTGGTGCAGGTTGGAAACAGAGCAGGTCAGAGTTTGCATGCTGAACAACGGTGGGATCACATCCATGAGTGGCTGCTACACTTCCAACCTGGGAGAGACAGAGAGACCCAGTTTCCTTCCACTTCCCCCTACACAATTCCTAGCGATGTTGAACATTTTTCTAAGGATTTATTTACTCTTCGTGCTTTCTCTTTTGTGAATTCTCTATATCCTTTGACTTTTCCTTTTTCCTTGGGAGATTTGGTATTTTGCACGTAAATATGTAATATAATGTAGGTTTGCAATAACAATATGAATTTGTAGTAACTCTTGCCATGACTTTGTGCTCTGAAAATGCTGAAGTATTAAGTCCAGTGTATCACATGTCATTTCATCCTATCCAAGAGCTATTGATATGCATAATTTTTCTATAAACCATGGATTCTTAACCTGTGTGTGTGTGTGTGTGTGTGTGTGTGTGTGTGTGTGTGTGTTGAACCTATTGGGTGCTCTGGCAAAGCCTGTGGACCACTTCTCAGAATACTGCTTTTAAATGCATAAAATAAAATACATAGGCTTTCAAAGGGAAACCAATTATAGTGCAATTAACTGTTATAAAAATATTAAAGAAACAAGTTCATAGACCTCTGCTATACAGCAAGACAAACAACACTACTTATACCTTACATTTTTTCGGTGCTTTAAAAATTTCAAAAGACTTTCTTGCTCTCTGATCTTATGTAATCCTCACTTTCTCTGAGTAGTTTGCAGAATAGGAATTATTATCTCTATTTGGGCAACATGAGAGCTGAGTGGAGAGGCCCAGAGTGGGTAAGCAGTAGACCTTTTCTAAGATCTCATGTTGAGGGGCAGAGTGGGAATTAGAACTTGGTTCTCCAGATACCCCCTGCTGTTTTCTTTGCACTGCCTCATATGGCTCTCCTAGACTTAGTTGGACACCTAGAGTAGGGTGAATGAGACTTTTGTCTCAGGTTGGAGTCATTGCCCAAGGGTTTGAAATTTGCTGTTGAGAGGGACATTTAAAGGGCTGCTGATAAATGCTCTGTAAAGAGGGAGACAGGCAACGACTGGTGGTTTAATTTTGGGAGGGGTATGGGGAGAAGTTTGGTATTGAGGGGGAGGGTAGAGTTTTGGCTGGTAGGTATGATAGGGTTATGAGAGTTGGGGCCCACTGGGGGAGAATCTTGATCATCCTTTAGGGAATCTCAGGTAGAAGTGAAGTCTTGTGGGAACCAAGCGCTGGTCTATCCTAGAGATGAAGATGCCCATCCATGGCCCAGGGAGCTCGTCTTCTCTTTGCTGACAGTGGTGATCCAAAGGCCATCTAGCAGCTCAGCTGGCAGGGGACGGGGGAATGCTGGGAAAGGCTTCTTTTCAAACCCTGACTATCCTGTTGGGGAGTGATGTATGGATTAGGAGGGGAACAAAGCAAGGGAAAGGAGAGAACATCTTTTGTTCTCTTAGGGAGCTTCCTGGGGATACTTCTGCCTTCCTGATCCTAGAGGACTTTCTTATCCCCCAAGTTTTGCCCTTAGGGTTTTTCAGAGTTTATGATAGCCTAGAACTTGAGAGTTGGTCAGCAGGGCTCAGTTGGAAATGTCATGGACTGCCAGGGAGGTAAACTTCAGGGGTCTCTAGCTTTCTGTAAGGGTACCACTCCAGTTTACCCCCAAATTATGAGTTTTCTTGGATGCCAGATTTGAAGAAACAATGGATCATATCAACTTATTATCAAGAATAATTAATTTACATAAGAAGCTACCAAGCAGACCAATTCTTCTGGGGATGGAGGTGGGCAGCCTCCATAGCAGTGGCCTTGTAGTAACCTGGGGCCTGTGTTTGCCCCGAATGTGCATTCACAATCAGACTGGTATTCATTGTACTATGTGCCCTGAGTACAAAAATTCCTAGTTCCATCCCTGGCTGGCCAAATAATATCTCTTTATTGAGGAAACAATTTCAGTTGTTAAAAAACAAAACAAAACAAAAAACCTTACTTCTCTAATTCTGTTATCAGCCTCATGTAAGTGTCATTCTAATTCTTTTTTGTTTTTCTCCTCTTCTAGATATTGAGAAACTTTGTACGTTTAGTCAGCGGTTCCCTCTCCCGTCCATGTACCGAGGCTTCGTGTGGAAGGTGCTTTTAGGTAGGACTTTAAAAAGTTGCAAGAGACTTAACCTTGGGAGATATTGGGCACTAAGATGACGGCTTATCAGATAGAAAGTGAACTTGGCTGGGTAATGATCCACTTTGGGCGTGGCAGGTCATGGCCAACCTGCAGAATATTCAGACCACTCCATTAGGGGCCAGGGGTTGCTTAGTGCCAAAGTTTTAGGGAGCTAGCTAGTTTTCTTCTTAGTGAGAGGAATGTTTTGCTCCCTGAAGTATTGTGAACAGTATTGGTCCTTGAAGTACTTTTGGGATTAGCAGTGTAAGTCCTGGTCATTGGTGGCTGACTAGGAGGGTAGAACTTAAAAGGCAGCCAATTTCCTGTGGAAGAAGAAGGGTTCTCTCACAAAACTGTAAGTAACGAGTAGATATTGATATTGAGCTAAAAAGGACATCAAAGGTCATCTAATTCATCCGTCTGTATTATTTTACAGATGAAGAGTTGAGGCCCAGAGAAGGTAAATAACTTACCAAAGTCACATAGGTAGTAATAAAAAAAGCAGAGATAGTAATAAAAAAAGCAGAGATTCAAACTCAGGTCCTCCTTATAAATCCATCACTCTTTTCCTTTGTTCACTCACTTTTCAGTTGTGTTTGACTCTCTGTGATCCCCTTCGGGGTTTTCTTGGCAAAGATATTGGAGTGGTTTGCCATTTCATTCTTCAGGTCATTTTACAAATGAGAAAAATAAGGCACACAGGGTTAAGGGACTTGCCCAGGGTCACACAGCTTGTAAGTGTCTGAGGTCAGATTTGAATTCAGGAAGATGAGTCTTCCTGACTCCAGGACCGCAGCTCTATCCATTATGCCATCTATCTGCCCCACTCTTTCACCCTAAAGAAATTCTTCCAAGGCCAAGTGGTGCCTATGAACTTTTACCACTGTTAGGACTTCTAGAACAGCCACCCTTCCCCTTATGTTTGCTAACTGTAAGCTGTTGAAGTTGGAGCTCTGTGAAGATGAAATAATTGGTAACAGTGTTAGAAAATCTTTGAGGAGTGTGAAGATTGGGGTTGTGATCTTTCGGATTCTGGTATAGAGTATTAATAAGTTAGGAAAGGTTCAGTTTTTATTTTGTCAAGTCTTTGGAAGAAGAATCACTGCTAGATTTAGTTACTCAGGAGTGCTGGGTGTCTGACATCTTTGTGAATGACAGGCAGTAGCAGAAGTTTTGGTGAGTGACTGACATCACTAGTAGGTTTCTGGGCCAAGTGGTAATTCGTTTCAGAACAGCACACAATTTTTTACTAATTCAGACTCAATGATGGATGAAATCATACCTGCTCAGAGTTAGAGAACTCATTTTCTGCCATAAAACCAATTACTTACAAACCCTTCCCAAGTCTAATTTATGAAGATGTAGGAACCATGTAGAAAATAAGAGCTTTAGGGTGGAAACATCCTTTTCAAGTGTTTTAAGTCATAGATGGAGAAATGTCTCACTATTTCCTAGATAGGTTGACTCCTAACTCTTTATGCAAAGGATAGATTTTTGATGGTTCTAAGACCCTGGCATTTCATCTTTATGAAGATTCCTCTTATTTGGGTTAAGCTACAAAAAGGGATGGTAAAGACTTGGCACTTAGCAGCCTTACCATCTATACACAAATAGTACTGTGTGTGTGTGTGTGTGGGTAGTTGAGTTAGAGGTTTGGGGGTTAACTTGGGGAAACCATCTGCCCTATTAGTAGTATGATGAATGTTCAAATGAAGCTTTTTAATCTGTATTAAGCCAAATGTAGAGAATACCTTAATATTGTTTTGGCTTAATCACAGTTTAACACAATGTAGGTGACTAAGGTGAGTGAAGATTATGTCAGGCAAATGAAATCCAGAAAATGATTGCCCTTAGTGTTCAAAAGTAGAATCACAAATTTGGAATTTGAAGGCACATGGTTCCATTTCTGAGGCAAGAAAACTGAAGAGAGGATAAGTCCCTTGCCAAGGATTATGCAGCTAATTGATGACAGAACCAGGAGTAGAACCTAGATCCTGTGTACTATGACCAATTTTATTTCCTCTCCACCATATTGTCTTTCATTCCTTTCATTTTTCTTTTATTATTGGCTTTTGTTTTTTACACCAAAGTCATTTCCTAATATATCTTCTTCATCATTGACCCTTCAACTCTAACAAGGAAAAACAGTTACTCAACAACGATCAACAAAATGACAACATAGCATATGCAACTTTTGGCTCCCAGTAGGCTTCCATTTGCATATTAAGAAAAGAAAATTTTATTTGGTTAATTTATTGATGACTTTTGTTTTTATATCACCTGCTAATTCCAATATGTCTCTTTCCCTCTCCTAGAGAGTCATCTCTTATAACAAAAAAATTTTTAAAAAGAGAAAAAAACCCAGCTCAGCCAAAATAACCAGCATATTAAATAAGTCCATCATTATATGTAGGGTTCTGTGCCCATAGTCCCCCACCTTTGTAGAAAAGGAGTAGAGGTATAGTCTCATCTCTTTTTTGGAGCCAAGCCTGGTCATTGATAGCTTTCAGTATCGATTGTATTATTGTTATTCTTTCCATTTACATTTTTGTAGTCATTGTGTATATATTTTTCCAAGTTCTGCTTTTATTTTACTTTGCTTTAGTTTATGTGCCTTTACTTGTTCCTAAGTATTCATCATATATTTCTTATAGCTCAGTAATATTCCATTATGGGGATGCTAGATGGCGCAGTGGATAGAGGACAGGGCTTAGAATCAGGAAGACTCATCTTCCTGAGTTCAAATCCAGCCTCAGACACTTTCTAGCTGTCTGACCCTGGCCAAGTCACATAGTTTGTTTAGCCATTCTCCAGTTGAGGGCTATGAATATTTTGCTATATATGAGATCATTTTTTAAAATCATTGGTTTCCTTGGGATATATTACTTGCAGTGGGATCTTCTTATAAAAGGGCAAAGCCATTTTAGTCACTTTCTTAACATACTTGTGAATTGTTTTCTATAATGTTTGGACTAATTTAGAGCTCCACCAATGGTGCACTAATGTGCTTGTGGAAAATGTGCTTTCCTAATATGTTCTATGGGATCAAAATTGATCATTGCAATTGATTTGAGTTTTCTGTCTTTTACTGTGTCACATATGGTTTTCCCTTGATTATTTTTCCTTCCCTCTGCACCAGTTCATACAAGTCTTCCTACTTTTTTCTGAAATCCTCATATTCATCGTTCCTTATAACACTGCCATGGATTTTCCATGCTTAGTATTTGAAGAGAAAGATCTGGATGTTGCTGTGAAGGAAATGATACCTTACTGGGTATACATAGTCTCTTTCAAAGATTAAGCTATGGAGGGGCAGCTAGGATAGAGCTCCACCCTTGGAATCAGGAAGACCTGAGTTCAAATCTGGCCTCAGACACTTGACAATTACTAGCTGTGTGACCCTGGGCAAGTCACTTAACCCCAATTGCCTCACCAAAAAAAAAAAAAGATTAAGATATGGAAATAGAAGACCAAAAGAAAAATTGGTGAAAACAGCACAAAATATCATGCTCAAGAATTTAAAAACCTTAAGCCTGTCCTTCCTCTTAACTTCTAGTTTTGTTGGGAGTACCATCATCCTTCTAGTCACTTAGGCTCATAGGCTTAGAGTCATCTTTGACTCCTTTCCCTGCATACCTATCAGAAGCTAAGTTTTATTGTTGCTCCCCTAACAAACCTTGTACCTTTCTGTTCCCCTTCTCTCTACTCCATCTGCCACCACCAAAGTTCAGATGCTCATTCCTGCTCGTCTAGATTATTCCTAATTGAATTAGCTTTAATCTCCCCTTTCCAATTCATTTTCTACACAACTGCCAAAATAACTTTCCTAGGGCACAGATCTGACTATTACACTCCCTCAACTAAGAGTTTTTAATAGTTTCCCATTATCTTTAGGATAAAATATTAATTCCTTACTTGGTGTTTAAAACCCTTCAGAGTTGTCAGCTTATGTTTTCAGGCTTGTTGTACATCATTACCCTTGAAACACACATTCAAGCCATAGCAAACTTCTTCGGGGTACCCAAACTCAACATTCTATCTTATTTCTCCATACCTTTTCATAACTGACCCCATGCCTGGGATGTACTTTTCCCTCACTCTTGGAATCTCTGCCTTCCTTCAAGGCCCAGCTCATATAAGCTTTTCCCAACTCCTCTAACTCTTTTGCGTCTTCAAATTATCCTGTATAAACTCATTTGTCATATCCTAAAAGATCTTTGGAGGATAAAGACTACTCTATTTTTGGTTTTGTACCCCTTGTATCCAGCACACATTGTCTTTAAAGGGTGTATAATTTTTGTTGGTTAGTTGGATGGAAAAATATTATATTTGGAGTCAAAGGACCTGGGTTTGAATCCGGCTTTACCACCTTTGACCTATGAGACCTATGGCAAACTACTTGAACCTATCAATGCCTCAGACTCCTCCCCTGTTAAATGATGGGATTGGGTTAGATAGCCTTTAAAGCCCCTTCCAACTCTAAATCTATGATCCTATGAATATGTGAATCAATCAGTCAGCATTTATTAAGTGCCTGCTATGTGCCAGGCACTGTGCTAAGCACTGAGAGTACAAAAGGAAGCAAAAGGCAGTCCCTGCCCTCAAGAAGCTTGTCTGTGATCTTTTTGGCGTCTTGTAATTTCAAACCCAGATCAGCAACGATATTATTAACTAATGCCTCAGTACTTTAAGAATATGAAAAATGGGTTCTGATGGATAACTTCCTAAAAGTGATTCTCCACAGTTAGTAAATGTGGTTGTTAGTTCTTTTGTATGGACCAAGCTAGCTTTTTTGTTTTCGAGGGTTTCTTCTCCTAGCAGTGCCTTTATTAGGTAAGAAGGATTTGGATTACTGACTCCAGCTTAGTGCCTGGATTTCTCCTCTTTCCTAGGAATCCTGCCTCCTCACCATGAATCTCATGCTCAGGTCATGATGTGCCGGAAGGAGCAGTACACAGATGTCCTGCATGCCCTGAAAGTCATTCGTTTTGTCAGTGACTCCACTCCACAGGTGGATGTCTACCTGCGCATGTATCAGCTAGAATCCGGAAAGTTGCCTCGAAGTCCTTTCTTTCCTCTGGTTGGTGGCTACTTTGCTTAGATAATTAATTTTGCTCTAGGTCATTCCCCTGCCATTTATAAACAACCAGGACCAGTCTTAAGGCCATCACAAAACTAAAGTCACTAAGTAGCAAAGGTATTATTGTGCCAATGTCCTAATGGAGTAGAAAGTCTACAATATTATATTGTAGTGGGAACATAGATTAATCTTTCCCTCAAATATTTGTGTCTACATTTGTACAGAAAATCTTTTTAAGGTTAGGGTTTTCTTTCTTTTTCCCTGTGTAGGGAGTGAGAGGGCAAGAGAGGGAAGAAAAAAGAAATCAGGTAAAGGAATAATGGGGGAGATTTTTTTTTTCTTTGAACATTAAAATATAATTCTCTCAAAAACATATAAATAATTTTTTCCCCTTCCTCTCACAGATTGAATTGTGTAATCACTGGGAGGAGAGTAGTTCAGAGCCACCAAATGCAGTGATTTGACTATTAGTTGTAGTGCTCTCCAGGATTTATTTATTTATTTATTGTTACAATAGATTTACCAGGTTTATTAACCTATTGGACATTTGATATTTAACTTATTCTTTATTTGTAAAGTTATTGATGTAGGGCTGCTGATAGACCTTACATCTAATGACCGTTGCCCATCTTTATTATTGTTGTCAAGGGAAACGAGGTCTCTTTGGAAGTAATAGGAATGCTCAGCAATTTCCATTAAATTTCACTTAGCATTAATAAAATGAAGTTGATACCATTGCATAGATTCTTAAGATTAATTTATTATGAGTAGTGCATATTTAGTACTAGATAGGCCTGTTATAGTTTTTGATCTATCTCCATTCAAAATTCCTTTTGACTTAGATGGTCCTGTGGGCCTCCCTACAGAGCACTCCCCACTTTTAGACACAGAGTCCTTTCAGAAGCAACCTGCTTCTTCCCACCCCCTTTTTTAAATGGAAAACTGTCTTATGAGCATGTTATTAAGGTTTTAGGAAAATTGTCTTTTTCTGGTTATGAATCTTTGTTTTACACACCTAAATTTGTATACAACTCAGAAACACATTAAAAAGGAGGCCTACAGATGAAAGAGCTGAGATTTTTAAAGGATTTAATATTTTCCAGAGTAAGAAGATAATATTTAGTTTGGCTTTAACTTTGAAGCATTACCACTGCTTAACCCAAATAAAATTCCAAAGTACTTTCAGCAGCAGATAGTATTTGAGAACAGAAGATGTTCATACACTCTTTCAGGCCTCTCAGAAGTCTTTTGGGGAAATTTACTTGAGGAATTTAGCTCCATGTTTTGAATGGCATTTTGCAAGATTTTGAAATGGTCGTTCTTTTGATCTGTATAATCTTGGTTCTAGGGCATATCAGATCAAAGTCACTTTAAGTTGGTTCTTAAAGGTAGAATAAGATACTGAAAGGCTTTACTAATACTTAGAAGTAGAGCTTTTAAAATATTATTGCTTGTTCTCTTAACAGTATATGGTATTCATTGATTATAGTGCTGATAACAGAGACTGTTTAGTGTAGTGAATGGAGTGCTGACCTTGAATCAGAAAGACCTGGATTCATCAGATCATAGATTGGAAGGGACCTTAGAACCCATCAGGTCCATTACCCTATTTTACAGATGAATAAGCTAAGGCATTAGAGGATGAGTGAGTTGCCAGAGATCCCATAAGTGTCTGAGGTGGCCCTTGAATTCCAGGCTTCCTGTCTCCAAGTTCACGGCAAAACCCACTAGGTGACTTCACTGATACTTATTAGCAAGTTGAGTCACTTAACCTTTATGTGATTCAGGTAGCTTCTTAGGATATATTTACTGACTTACACACTGGATGGAGTTCTACACGCTTAAAAAAATCACAGATCTTTATTGTATTCACATATTACAGGGCCAGATACTTTCACTTGTAATTTTCACATCCCTTTTGATTAAAATCTATAGTCCAGGGGTTCTTACCTTTTTTTTGTATTGTGTTCCTCTTTGGCAGTCTGGAAAAGCCTGTGGACCCCTTCTCAGAGTAATGATTTTGAATACATAAAGTAAAACACATAGGATTACAAAGGAAACTATGCTGAAATACAGTTATCAATTTTTAAAAAAATTAAATTTACAGACCCTAGGTTAAAAAGCCTTGGTATAGTGTAATTCAAACTTTATACCTGAGGACTCAATCAGTAAGCATTTATTAAGAACTTGCTATGTGCCAGAGGCTGCTAGGTGGCTCAGTGGATAGAGTGCTGAGCCCAGGAGTCAGGAAGACTCATCTCCCTGAGTTCAAATCCGGCTGTGTAACCCTGGACAAGTCACTTAACCCTGTTTGCCTCAGTTTCCTTATCTGTAAAATGAACTGAAGAAGGAAATGGCAAATTGCTTCAATATCTTTGCCAAGAAAACCCTAAATGGGGTCATGAAGGGTTGAACATGACTGAAAACACCTAAACAGCAACAGGCACTGTATTGCAGATACAGAAAAAGAAACCCTGAATGTCTTTCTCCTCAAGCAGCCGACATTCTGTTGGGGGAAAGAATATGTTCATAGGCAAACATAATTAAAATATATCTGAAGAGAAGAGGAATCCAGATGGTCTGTGAAACGTAAGTGAACCGCTGATGATTTATCTGTGGTAGACCTATCACAGAACATGTGCTAGGCTCACTGAGTGCTCAGGCTCTTGCTTCACTATTTACAAGGCTGTCTTAGACTTCATGACTCCTAATCCTTCTTACCCACCTCCTCAGTTCTCTTTTTAATGTGGAATTTGATGTGAAGAGTTTATTATTAACACTGTAAGCCCAGCTATAACGAACACCAGTCAACCAATGACCATACCCAAAATGGGATCAACTTCCAACCAAAGCCCTCTGATTTCAAACATTTCTATGCCAGTCAGATAGCAAGGAAGAAAACATTGATATCATACCATGCTCTTTTTCATTTTTATCCTGTTTACTGAAGTTTACACATATTTATAACAGCTATTCTATAAGGTGGGGCAGTTTTAAACTCAATTGGGATTAATTATGTGTAAATAAATATTTGTAAATTTGCCTTTAATTTAACTGGTGATAATTTAAACTATGCATTTTAACAAAATAAGTCAGTGAAAGTGTGGAGCTACGGGAAGACTCCTGGATTAAAGAGCCAGAGGATCTGGGTTCAAATCCCACCTCTCTTCCATTTACTACTGATGTGACATTGGGCAAGTCACCTAACCTTTATGTACCTCTCATCCCTACTGAACTAATAATAATTTGGTCCTCTCAAGTTACACCTTTCCTTAGGGTTGAGTTTTCATCTTCCCACTCTTCTGTCAGGGTCAACATTCCAGAAAAATGCCATTTCAACCCTCATCCAGCCCTAATTCTGTGATCGTGTAATCAAACAAACAAATAGACAGAAAATAGGTTTGCCTTGTGTGCCCTTCAAATCCATCTCAAGAGCTATTTCTTTGTGTTTTGTTATCTCTTGTTTTTTTTAATGGTGCTGTTTTGTTTTGTTTGGGGGTTGGGCTTTTTTTTTGAGGCAATTGGGGTTAAGTGACTTGCCCAGAGTCACACAGCTAGTGAGTATTATGTGTCTGAGGTCAAATTTGAACTCAGGTCCTCCTGCTGCTCTATCCATTGCACCACCTAGCTGCCCTGTGGTAGTGTTTTTTTGGTTTGTTTGTTTATTTGCTGATCTTCCTCAAGTCTTTCCATGTTTCCTTGTATTCTTTATACATATAAATTTTGTGGCAGCATATTATCGCATTACGTTAATATACCATGATTTATTCTTACCATCCTTTAATTGTTGGACATGTTGTTTGTTAAGTTTTTCAGCTATAGAGTAAAGTAGCCATGGATTTTTTTTTTCCTTTTGGACAGAAGGCTGAAGACACATCCTTAGGGGGAACTTCCATATCTGAGGGTCAGGAGGAAGATGAAGAGCCAGCAAAAGAGGCAGAAAAGGAGTAGGCAGAGAGTTAGGAGACTCATGATGCCGTAGTATAAGCTGTCACAGACGTTCAGGGAACAGAAGGTACTGTCAGCAGCACCTGATGGGATCTGGCTTTTGCTGCTGGGGCAGCTCAGTGGTGCAGTGCATGCTCTCACTGGGCCCAAGTTCAAATGCAGCCTCAGACACTGTGTGACCCTGAGCAAGCCATTTAAACTCTGTCTACTTCACCTTCCTCATCTGTGAAATGGGAATAATAATATCCCTTTCTTGGGTCAGTTTTCTGTTTTTGCCATGACAGTGTGATTTGATTTCCAAAGAGGTCAAGCGCTTCCTAGCTTTAAGTGTTTCTGTCATTGCTCGGCTGTATTGTCTGTAACAGAAACACATTTGGAATGTTTCTCTTTTCCCTTAGAAATTATAATTCTTAAAATATTGCTGCTTTTAAAATTCTCACAACCAGATTATATGATTTAAGCAATTGAATAATGTATATACAATTGTCTTACCTCTCAATTAAGGTATTTATATAAGACACATATATGCCCACACACATATATATACATACATGCATATACATGCACACAAAACACATACATGTATACACATCCACATGCAGGTACATACACATGCACATACATACATATAGGCATGCACTCATGTGTATATGCATGCATACATGATGTGTATATGTACATACATATTTGCATGCCCACACACAATGCACATGTGCACACACAAAGACATGCATATATGCATGCATTTGTATATACATACAATATACATGTACATATATGTACACATGTATCTATATATAATGCACACACCATAGCTATGCACACATATGTATATGCACATAACACAGTATTCTTATACACGTGTATACATATACACATGATGCACATGGTAAACTGCACACACTCACACATGTTCATATACACTGCATATTTATATAAACACATGAACACAAATGTGCATATACACACATACATGGTGTATATATACACATATCATTTGTTATGAGGATCAAATGAGACAGTATCTGTAAAGTGCTTAGCAGAATGCCTAGCACATAGTCAGTACTATATAAATGTTAGCTATCGTCATCATCATCATCATCATCATCATCATCATCAGCTACAGTAAGGTCAAAGAGCATGAGGACTGAAAACAGACTTTTAGATTTTTCAATGAAGCCATCATTCATCACATTAGAAAGGGCTGTTTCAGTGCGATTGCAAAGATGGTTTTCATCTTGTTAAGAGTATGTGTGGTGAAGGTTTAGAGGCAGTAAGTAAAGGCCTTGACAGGGAAGAGAGTGGGGATGAAAATTTAATGCCAAGGAAAAGGATACTGTCAACGCACTTGAGAGGCCCAATCAGTTAACTTAAAGAAAATACAGTTTTAGTAAAGAAAAATATTTTCTCTCCCTCCTTCTACCCCCAAATGAATTTGTTCTTTTTCTTTCAGGAGCCAGAAGATGAAGTATTTCTTGCCATTGCCAAAGCTATGGAAGAGATGGTTGAAGATAATGTTGACTGTTATTGGCTTATCAGATGCTTTGTGAACCAATTAAATAACAAGTTCCGGGATTCCTTACCCCAGCTGGTGAGAAGTGTTTTTTGATCTTGGGGGGGGGGACACTGGGGCTAGCAGGTGTCCTAGAGCTACTGTGACCCTTTAGGGCTGCTGCTCGTGAGAGGTGATTCCCCCAATCACCTTATTTGTGGCCCACATCCAAGTGTCTATAGAAGGGGGCTTGTCTTAGACACACAGCTGAGTTGCTATCTTTATATTGCTTAGGATAAGGAATGGTTCTTTGCCTTTTCTTTGTCATAATATCATAGTATCTTAGGTTTAGAGCTGGAAGGGACTTTGAGGGCATCTAAGCCAGAGCCAGGCAGATCGAGGCCTGAAAAACACCCAAGTGCAGGCTGAACCAGATTAAAATGTAACTGGGAAATGTTTAACAAAATAATGAAAATACAACATATGTAATGTTCATTTGTGATTTTCTAAGTCATTCCATTAAGGCAGCTAGGTGGTGCAGTAGAGAGAGCCCTGGGCTTGGAATCAGGAAGACCTATCTTCATGAGTTCAAATATGGCCTTAGATAGTTACTAGCTGTGTGACCCTGGGCAAGTCACTTAACCCTGTTTGCCTCAGGTTCCTCATCTGTAAAATGAGCTGGAGAATGAAATGGAAAACCACTCCAGTGTCAATGTTCCAAAACCCCAGGTTGGGTCACAAAGAGTCAGACACAACTGAACATGACTCAGTAGCAACAACAAATCATTCCACTGCTAAATCAACCCTCTTGTTTTTACAGTTGAGTAAACTGAGACCCAGAGATGTTGAGTGACTTGCTCAGGATGATATAAGTAATAAGAGGCAGAACCAGGATTTGAACCCAGGTCCTCTGACTCAAGAGCCATTACTCTTTCCACTCTACCATGATATCTTGCCATCTCTTTTTCCTGTTTCTTACTCCTTTCATTTTCTCCATTTATTCTGACACCTTTTGAGGCATGGCATGGTAACTGTGCATAAGGATATATATGAATAAGGATGACTATGTATAAGGATAACAAATAAGGATGAGGATATTTATTGATTTGATTAAAATAAAACTTTATTAAGTATTACTGTGAGGTAATTCTTATTTCTTAACTCAATTATAATCTCCAGAATTTGCCAAGGCTTCCTTAGCTACTCTTCCTGTGTAATCCAGTGACTTTGGACAGTTCACTGTTAACTCAAGGTGAAACACCAGGTTGCTGGGGCAACCACATTTGAGATGCTTATTCTTTTAGATTCTTGAAGTCGAAATAATGGTATAGTCAGCACTTTTAAAGGAAGAACAGAGAAAATTGTGTCATCAGAAAGGTAGTGCACTTGTAATCAATGGTAATTTCATTTTTGTCCGAGGCATTTTACAGGTTTCAAACTTCCTATGGAACCCAATATCAGTAGAATTAAATGGTTATGAGGTTTTTAGAAAAATCTTTGCTAAGCATAAAGAAAAGCCAGCCCGTGATTGTGCTGATATTTGTCTTTGTCCTAAATTCATTTATTTAAACTTTTATGTTTGGTTAAGCAGTGTGAGCTTCTTTTTCTTTTTCTTTTTCTTTTTAGACTTACAATATGGGTTTTTCCTACCCATTCTCTTACAAATGCAGAGTTATCATTATCCTGTTATCTTCTCAGATTTTTAAAGCCTTGCCAAACAAAATTGCAATCACAAAGCAAAGATCATTCTAAAATCTTAGGGAAATAGGTACATGATGGATAGAACAAGGACATTTTGGCATCAGAAAAAGGACAGCACACACCCGAGCACTCTAAGTATATTTTAATGTTCTGATTCACTAGATCTCACCAACACCTTCTCTTCCCGTCAGAAGGTTTACTGAAATCTTGTTTTCTCACAGATGAACTCACTACCATATACAAAAGGACTTTGCCAAAATTGCATAAAATTATAAGGCACAAAAGAATTTCATAGGTAATCTCAGGGGATCTGTGAAATTTTTCCCTCCATAGTTTGGTAATTTTACTTCAATATAACTAGTTTCCTTTGAAATCCTATGTATTTTATTTTCTATATTTTTGTATTTATGCATTTATTGTTCTGAGAAGGGGCCTACAGTCTTTACCACATTGCCAAAGGGTTCTGTGAAACAAAAAGGGTTCTTAACCCTTGATCTATCCCATCTTAGACTTATATAATGGTCAGGGGGTTGCCTTCCTTTCGGCATAGCTATGCTAAGTCCTTAAAGATTTTCATGATAAAAAAAAGGTTTTTATAAGCAAGCTTATTGACTTGTTTCTAGTTATATTCAATAAACATTAGGTCAGCATCATTGTCCATGGTACTAGGCTGAGTATGGAGGGGGAATACAAAGACGGATGAAAGTTCTATTTACGTTCTACTAGGGAAGGCAACATGTGCACAAATATATATAACACAAGATAAATAGTAAAGTAGGCAAGAGACAAGTCAAAAGTTAACCTAAATTATAGTCCACTGTGCAACTAAAACTATTTCCTGTCTTTCCCCTTCCCTTTTTCCTTTCTTGCCCCCAACCCATTCATTGATGATATGGCATAGTGGATAGAGATCTTGAGGCAGGAAATTCTAGATTAAAATTTTACTTCTGATACTTAGTAGTTATGTGATCATAGATAAGTCATTTTATCCCTCTGAGTCTCAGTTTCCTCCTTAATAAAACAAGGCTAGATTTTTGTCCTCATAAATTTTGTCCTCAAATATTTATGACAAAATGAGATTAAAATATGTAAAGTACATTGTAGACCTTGAAATGCTATATAAACGCTGCCGTATTATTATTAATTATTATTATTATTATTATTGCTACTGTTAATATACATATTTATGTACCTAATGGATATATCAGGCTTAAGTAGAATAATGTTTGTAAAGCACACTGAAAACTTTAAAGTGCTTGGTAAGCATCAGCTATTATTATTTTCTTAAATTCTACTCATTCCTTCTTCCATATGACATATGACATTGAAAACCTATGCTAGAATTGTACTCTACTGCTTTGAAGTGATGTGGATTTGACCTTTGGTTCTCAAAGGCCGTGCTCATCACCAGAACTCGGTGATGAAATTTTGCTTGCGGCCCCTCAGGAAACTGTCAACTAAGGCCTTAGTTGACTTAGTGGAAGTCTCAGCGACCTGTGCCCAAACTCAGGAAAGCTTTGAAAACGTGGGAGACATCATTGAGACCATAGTAAATATAGTCTTGGAACAACTCTCCATTGATTGACCAAACTAGAATATTAAAATATGTAAATTTTGATGTTTCCAAGGTGCTGATTTAATATCTTTTTTTTTTAAATGCATCTTAATTTGTTGTTGTCATAACTGTAACAGCACTTAAAAAATTCTCTCCTCCAAGTCTTGCAGACTTCTGCTAACCTTTGGTGGTTTTCTTTGCACTAATTATAACTAAGAAACACAAATTAAGGTCATGGAATTATAGAGCATTTTAAGGTCTACGAAGCACTCTACATATTTTAGTCTCATTTTATCATGATATATGAGGACAGAATTTATGAGGACAAAAATCTAGCCCCATTGTATCAATGAGGGAACTGAATCTCAGAAGGATAAAATGACTTACCCATGATCACATAACTTAGTAGATCTGTCATTTTGTAGATTGGGAAACTGAGAGGTTAAGTGATTTGTACAAAGTCACACAGCTATGTGCTATCTGAACTGGAACAAGGACCTAGGTCACCAGTGACTCGAGGTCTTGAACCAGTAGGATTTTAGGATTATAGATTTAGAGCTGAAAGGACTTCAGAGGTCTCCTGGTCCAACAATCTCACCTTATAGATGATGATTCTGAGGCTAAAAAAGGATCCTTCCAGCCGCATGTGTTTCTCTCTTCTTTTCCAGTTTTCCTGAACCTCCCTTCTCATGTCCCATTTCTTATCTTTTTCTCTCTTGTTTCTTCTTCTGTACTTTTTATATCCTTCCTCTAGACTTGAGTCTTAGAGCTTAAAAAAAGGACTGCTGAATCAGGTTAGTCTGACTGATAGATTTTTGCTTGAGGGGACTGTGTCTGCCCAGGTCTAGATGTGTATAATATTAGATTTTTAGCTATTTGTAGCACTTGCTTTTATTTAACACTTAGAAGATTTTCAACATGTCCTGCATATCAGCTGATGTATTTTATATGATTGGAAATTTCTCCCATCTCTTTCTGTCTCCTTTAGCCAAAGGCTTTTGAACAGTACTTGAATCTTGAAGATAGTCGTCTCCTGAATCATATGAAGACATGTTCTGTGGTAACCAAACTGCCTTATGATCTGTGGTTCCAGAAGTGCTTTGCAGGTTGTTTACCTGAATCCAGTTTACAGAGGCAAGTATTTCTTTTGAAGGTCTTGAAGGCTTGGGTTCTACCGTTGATCAGTGTTGCTAGCTTGTATTAGGCATCTCAAACTCAACACGTCCAAAGCAGAACTCTTTATCTCTCCTCTCAAGCCCTTCTCACATCTGGAGTTCTCTTTCTGGCAAAGGTTTCTTTCAGTTTCCTCAGCTCATAACCAGTATCATCCTCAACTCCTCACTCTTCCTCACACATATACTCAGTCAGTTACCAAATCTTGCCAGTTCTGTCTCCACAATATTTCTCTTGCATCTGACCCCTTCTCTCTACTCAGGGCCTCATCACCTCTCATCTGGAAATTGCAACATGTCCTGCTAATTGGTCTCCCTGCCTTAGTCTCTTTCTACTCCAGTCAATCAATTAATCAACATTCGTCATTCAATAAACATTTAATAATCATTTACTATGTGTCAGGCATTGTACTAAGCACTGGGGATACAAAAAGAAGAAAATAATAGTCCCCGCCCTTAAGGAGCTTACAATCTAATGGAGGAGACAACATACAAACAAATATATGGAAAGCAAGCTATATGCAGGATAGATAAGAAAAGAACTGACAGAGGAAAGGTGCTCTACTTAAGGAGGGTTGGGGAAGGCTTCTTGTAGAAGGTGGGATTTATCAATCAATAAACATTTAATAAATGCCTACTATGTGCCAGACACTGTGCTAAGAGCTGGGGATACAAAAAGAGGCAAAAAATAGTCCCTGCCCTCAGGAAGCTTACAATTTGATGAAAGAGACAACATGCAAACAAATGTATACAAAGCAAGCTATATACAGGATAAATAGGAAATAATTAACATTGGGGAGGCATGAGAATTAAGAGGGGTTGGAGAAGGCTTCCTGTACAAAATGAGGTTTTAGTTGGGACTTAAAGGAAGACATAGAGGTCAGAGTCAGAGCAGAGGAGGGAGAGCATTCCAGGTCTGGGGGACAGGCAGAGAGAATGCCCAGGCTGAGAGGTGGAGTGTCTTGTTTGTGGTAAAGCCAGGAGGCCAGGGTCACTGGATCAAAGAGTACCTCTTGGGGAATAAGGTGTAAGAAGATTGGAAAGGGGTGTATGTGTGTGTGTGTGTGTGTATGGAGGGGTGCGGGTGCGAGGTTATGAAGGTCTCTGAATGCCAAACAGAGGACTTTGTATTTGATCTTGGAAGTAAGAGGAAACCACTAGAGTTTATTGAGTAGGGGGTTGACAGGATCAGACCTGTGTTTTAGAAAAATCACTTTGGTGGCTGTATGGAGGATGGATTGGAGTGGGGAGAGGCTTGAGGCAGGCAGAGCCACTAGCAGGCTATGGCAGTAATCAAGGCTTGAGGTGACGAGAGGCTGTGCCACGGCGGTGGCTGGGTCAGGAGAGAGGGGGCAGGGCATATTGGAGAGAGATTGCAAAGTTGAAATCGACAGGTCTTGGCAATAGCTTGGATATGGGGGGGAGGGGGGAGAGATAGTGAGAAATCCCAAGTTGATTTTTCCTACGTGCACATTTGATCATGTCATTTCCTTCCTCAATAAACTCCTGTGGTTTTCTATTGCCTTTAAGATCAAATATAAACTCTTAGCTTTTAAAGCCCTTCGCAGCCTTGCCCCAGCCCACTTTTCCAGTCTCATTGGACCTTGCTCCGCATCCCACACTCTGGGAAGCAGCTCAAAGAACCTTCTCTCTGTTCCTCATACAATACTCCGTCTCTCATCTCTTTGCCTTTGCTGTGATTGTGCCCCATGCCTGGAATGCACAGTCTCATCACCTCTTGATGATGTTGATGTTAATAATAATAATAATAATAATAATAGCCAGAATTTACATTAACATTTTAAGATTGGCAAAATGCTTTACAAATATTTTATTTATCTTCACAACAACCCTGGGAGGTAGATGTTATGATCCCCATTTTATGGGTGAAGAAACTCATCTGCGAACAGAGGGTTTAATGACTTGACTAGGGCCACGCAGCTGGGAAGTGTCTGAGGCTAGATTTGAACACAGGTCTTCCTGACTCCAGGTTCATTGCACTCTACTTACTGTATCACCTAACTTCTTCTTTTAATCCATAGCTAAGTACCACCTTCTATCTTCGGAAGTCTTCCCTGATTTCTCCCTAACCACTCCTGCCTTCCTTCTTGTACTACCTTTTATTTAACTACTTCTTATTTATTTGTATTTATTCTGCATATATTTAATAGGTATCTGTTATCTCCCCTGTTACAATGTAAGCCTAGTGAGAATGAAGATTGTTTCATTTGTAGGCCGCTAGGTGGCACTGTGGATAGAGCTCTGGACTCAAAGACTTCCATTCAAATCCTGCATCAGATCCTAACTAGCTATGAGACCCTGGGCAAGTCACCTCTCTCATCTTCAGTACCCTCATCTGTAATAAGGGGATGATAATAACAGCAGTTATCTTCTAGGGTTGTTGTGAGCATCAAAGGAGATTAATATATGTGAAGCACTGTATAAACTTTAAAGCAATATATAAATGGTAACCATTACTATTATTAATATCAATATTGCTATTAATAAAATAATAAATAAAATTTAAAAATAGTAATATAGCCATTCTGATTATTAATTATTATTACCAATAATAATTATCATTCATTGTATATGTTGCCCCAGTGCCCAGAAATGCCAGGCATATGGTTGATTGAACAAGGTCCTCACAGGACTGTTTCTTATTTTTCATGGTATTTTCCTTATCACCTGGTAAAGTGCCTTGAACACAGTAGGCACTTTGTAAATGTTTATTAAATGAATAAAAGAACAAATGAATGAGAAGAGGATAAACCACAGTCTTCTGCCTGTCAAATAGTGTATGAATTTTCTCCTAAGGAAAAAAAATTATTTGAAAACATCATTTTTTTGCAAACAATAAAATGGTACTATTTCTGCTTAGTAGTAAGATAGTATAACATTGCATGATTTATTATGATTTCTTATTTGAGAGCCCTCACATCATAAAGGGGCAGCCAGGTGGCACAGTGCTGGGCCTGAAGACAGGCAGACTCGTCTTCATGAGTTCAAATCTGGCCTCAGACGCTTAATAGCTGTATGACCCTGGACAAGTCACTTAACCCTGTTTGCCTTAGTTTCCTCATCTATAAAAAGAGCTGGAGAAGGAAATGGTAAATCACTCCAGTATCTTTGCCAAGAAAACCCCAAATGGGGTCATGAAGAGTTGGACACGACTGAAATAACTGACCAACAAATCACAAAACTCATAATAGACATAATTTCTGAGGATTTACATAGAAGAGCTACTTTTCTTACTCACGAATGTAGTGGAGCTCAGTTCTGAGAATAGATTTAGAGACATGTCACTTCACTGCAGTATCACTATGAGCTGGTTTATAAAGAAAATGAACTGAACATGAGGATGCACTTCCAAACAACATACCAGTCAATCAATGTGTATTGAACTATAAATCTAATTTTTATTGTTATCTTTTGTTTTTACAATACCCTAATTTCTGAATGCATCCCTTCCCCTACCCAATGATCTATCTTAAATAGCAAAGAATCAAAAAAGAAAGATTTTCTAAAAATCAGTTCAGCAAAATTAACCCACACATCAACAACATTGGATGGTGTGCGTAGTGTTTCACACCTATTGTCCTCCATTTCTACGAAGAAAGGAGGGAAGTGTGTTTTTGTTTTCTAAATTCTTCTCCAAGGCCAGGCTGAGTCATTATAATCACACGGGTAGTGTTTTTCTTCCATTTACCTTATTGTAGACATTGTGTATATTGTTTTGTTGGTTCTGCTTATTTCACCATTTATCAGTCCATGTAAGTCTTCCAGTGCTTCTCTGTATCCATCACATGCTTCATTTCTTATGGCTCAGTAATATTCCACTATATTCATGTACCACTTGTTTAGCCATTCTTCAATTGAGCATCTGCTTTATTCCCTGTTCTCTGCCCTACAGAATAGGTTGCTATGAATATTTTGGTTTATATGGGAACTTTCTATAATTGAGCTCTTTGGGATATATATTTAGCAATGAAATCTCTGGGTCAAAGGATATGGCCTCTTTATTTCCTTTCATAGCATAAACTTAGGCACCAGTTTCTTTTGTTTTGAATTAATTACATTTAAAAAAATAAATTTTATTATTATCTTTTGTTTTTGCATCACCTATATTTCTCCATATATCCCTCTTCCTTCTCTGTTACAGAGAACCATACTTTATAACAAAGAATAAAAAAGAGGGGGAAAACCTGTTTTATAAAACTAACTGATATATGGAAAAAAATTCTGACATGTATAATGTACTACCCTTATAGTCCTCCACTTTTGCAAAGAACTGGGGGAAGACAAATCTCCAATTTGAAAGGGAACAGTAGAGATGAGATTTTTACTAGATTTATTGTAGACTGGCATATCTAGATGGTGTTTTTCTTCTTTGCCTTCCGATTTCTAATCATATCTAAGGTAAATTCAGTTGAATTTGAAATGTTTCATGAATGTCAATTTTGAAATTTAATGATGATTCTCTGGCAAAATTAATAGTTAAAACAAGGAATAATTTTGGATTTTGAGGGAATTTCAATAACTTAAAATTCAGCAGTATCACTTAATTAAATATTTTGTTTTTGTAGAGTTTGGGACAAAGTTATAAGTGGTTCCTGCAAGATCCTAGTTTTCGTTGCTGTGGAAATTTTGTTAACTTTTAAAATAAAAGTAATGGCATTGAACAACGCTGAAAAAATCACAAAGTTTTTGGAAAATGTAAGTGTTCTCTATCTTCATTTGCTCATTTAGCAATTATTTCATAGAATTATAGGAGCATAGATAGAGAGCTGGAGACAGCTAAGTGGCTCAGAGAATAGAGCACTAGGCTTGGGCTCAGGAAGACCCAAGTTCAAATTTGGCCTCAGATACTTATTAGCTGTGTGACCCTGGGCAAGTCACGTAACCTCTGTTTGCCTTAATCCACTGCAGAAGGAAATGGCAAACCGTTCCAGTATCTTTCCCAAGAAAACCCCATAGATAGACAGTATTGGTGTGCTATGGCCCATGGGGTCACAAGAGTTGGACAAGACTGAATGACAAAAGATAGAGAGCTAGAAGGGGCCTTAGAGATATTCTGATCCAAACCTTTTGTTCTATAGAGGCATTTGTTTTATTTTGACCAACAAAACAAAGTACATACTCTACCTAACCAGATTCTGCCAGTACGCAAACTATTACTCCCAATAATAAATTATAGTATTTGTTGGATAATAAAGCATCTAGTCAAGAAGAAGGCTATAGATATTATTAATCTGGATTTTAGCAGGCAGATGACAGTTTTTCATGCTATCCTTGTGAACAAGATGGCAGGAGGTGGGCTCGACGACACTGCAGTGAGGTGTATTTGAAGTTGGCTGAATGACCAGTCCCAGAGTACAGTACTAGCTTAATGGACCACTATTGGTTTTGTAAAGGATCGTGAGTGTGTTGTCCTAGGGCCCTATTCTTGTCCCCGTGCTGTTTAATGTTTGTATCAAGTATTAGAAGAAGGCGTTGATCACATTTTTAATCAAATTTGCAGATGTCACAAAGATGAGAGAGATAGCTAACATGTTAAATGACAGAGTGAGGATCTAATACAGTCTTGACAAGCCAGAGCATTGGGATGAATCTAATGAGATAAAATATGATAAAAGATAAATGCAAAGTCTTGGCCATTAGAGTAGGGATGAATAGAGGGCTGAACTTGCAGTCATTCAGATGCTGGCTCAAATCTGGCCCCCAATATTTATTAGCTGTGCAATCGTGGGCAAATCACTTTCCGATCAACAATGCCTTTGCTTTGATGGATAGAAATCCTACCCACCTAAGGGAATCACAGATGCTTGATATATTTGTGTCAATGTAAACTCCTCTTCTTGGGTTAAAAAAAAAAGCGTCAAAACATATTAAGTAAAATAAAATAAAATTTCCTAATGCTCAAAAAGAAAAAAAAGCAGCTTTGCAAGGATCCAGGTTACAGGGAGGGGGAAGCTGTGGTCTCGAGGTCACATGGCTTTCTAGGTTCTTGGGTGCAGCCTTTTGACTGAGTTCAAGTTTTATAGAACAAATTCTTTTATTAAGGGGATTGACTTGCCCAGGGTCACACAGCTAGTAAGTATCTGAGGCCAGATTTGAACTCAGGAAGATGAGTCCTCCTGACTCCAGGCCCAGTGCTCTATCTACTGTGCCACAGCTGCCCCCAACATAGGGCAACCAAAAAATCCCCCCAAAAAAGAAAACAAAAACCCTAATTTGGTCTTCAGGTATGTTAAGAGAGGCATAGGGTTGAAAGAAGGAAGTAATAGTTTCGCTATATTCCGCCCTAGGCAGACCCCCACTGGAGTATAATGTTTAGCTCTAGGTATCCCTTTTTAGGAAGGACTGTAAGCCTCCTTCCTGGATAGTGAAGGGCACATGGATCATGCTATTGGAGTATCAGTTGAATGAACTAGAGATGTTTAGCTTGGAGAGGAGGTGATTTGTGGAGGTCACACTAGCTGTTGTCAAGTATTTGAAGGGCTATAATAGAAGATGATTAGATTTATTTTGCTTTGACTGAAAAGGCCGAATTAGGATCAGTGGTTGAAAATTGTAAAGATGCAGATTTCACTTCCAGGTAAGGAAAAACTTCCTGACCATAAGAACTGTCCCCAAATGGAATGGACTGCCTTAGGAAGCCGTGGGCTCCCCCTTCACTCTATCTAGAGTAGGAGTTCTTAACCATTTTTGTGTCATGGACACCCTTTTGGCAGTATAACGAAGCCTGTGTAGCCCTCTCAGAATAGTGTTTTAAATGCATGAGATAAAATATATAGAATTACCATGGAAACCAATTATATTTTAATAGTAAACAAAATTTAGAAAAAAAAAACTAATAAGTTTACAGACCCCAGGTTAAGATCCCTGCTCTAGAGGCCTTCAGTTAAATACTGGATTGTTCGTTCTTGAGGATGTTTAGAGGGGATTCCCAGGTGTGATTGGGACCAGATGGCATCTGAGGAAGTTTCCAACTCTGACATTCTGTGATTCTTCCTCGATTTCCCCACTCTTCCCCCAAAGGAACTTGGTATAAAATTGGTCTATGTCTTAGAATCGGATTATACACAGCGTCCTTTGGAGGTGATGTCCTGAACAACATGCAGTCATGGATTTGGGGGCATGCAAAATGGGACTGTCTGCCTAGTGCAATCTTTGCTTACAACTTGAGGTAACTTGGCACAAATAATTTCTGTTAATGGAACAGGAATCCTTGGAGGTTAAATAGAGTCTGGGGGGATCATTCAGATCCTTTACTGTTTCCAGTTTATTAATGAGCAAAAGCCAATGTCAGCTAGAAACTACTGATTCCCAAATAAACACACAATATTCCTTCTCTCTGTTGTTCAGAATCCCCTCTAGTTAGATGGAGTAGCAAAAGGGGATTCACAGGGATCTGGGAGCTGTTCCCCTTTTTGCATGGGGACATTTCTTGGACCATTGTTTTTGATCCTACTTCCTTTATCTCCCCCTTGGGTGGTTATTAAAAGACTGTCGGAAAGAACTTTCCATACCACAGCAAATGGGATGTTTTCATAGTCTATACTGTGATTACAAAAGTACAGATTTCCATACCCTTTTTTTTTCTTTCTGCTGTTTCACAGATCCCTCAGGACAGTTCAGATGCAATTGTGAGCAAAGCCATCGACCTGTGGCATAAACACTGCGGGACTCCAGTGCATTCCATGTGAGCCTTTCCCCACCTTTTAAACATTGACCTGGTGTACTCTGACTGAATGTGTGCTTTTCAGAGGCTGACTACAGATCACTGTAAACATTCTCCTGAGCTGACTAAAAATGCATTGGAATTTGTTTTCAATTTTTGTTTTTGTTTTTGTTTTTATGTTCTAATGTTGAAAATGTAAATATTTTTTCAATAAAACTATTTAATTAGAACACCTGCTATTTCTGTGATATGAATCAGGGTGCTTTTGGGGAGTTCAGGTACAGATTCACTTCCCTCTGGCAAACATTTATTAAGTGCCTAGGATTTGCAGTTGCACTGTGCTAGGTACTGGGAATAAAGGGTGAAGAAGGACATAGTTCTTACCCTCAAGGAGCTTACCTTTCACTAGGGGCAACATGACAAAACTCAGTGTTGGAAGAGTATTTTTTTCCTACTTAATAATATTTTATTTTTTCCAATTACATGTAAAGATAGTTTTCAACAATCACTTTTATAAAATTTTGACTTCCAAATTTTTTTTTCTTCCTCCCTCCCTCCCTTCTCCCCTCTCCAAGACAGCAAACAATTTGATATAGGCTATTACATGTACAATCATATTAAACATGTTTCCACATTAATCATGTTATGAAAGAAGAAACAGAACAAAAGGGGAAAACCACCAGAAAGAAAAAAAAGAAAAAATAGTATGCTTTGATCTACATTCAGACTCTTTGTTCTTTCTCTGGATGTGGACAGCATTTTCTATCATGAGTCTTTTGGAATTGTCTTAGATCATTGTATTGCTGAGAAGAGCTAAGTCTGTCAAAGTTGGTCATCGCACAATATTGTTGTTACTATGTACCTCCTGGTTCTGCTCACTTCACTCAGCATCAGTTCATGTAAGTCTTTCCAGATTTTTCTGAAATCCACCTATTCATCATTTCTTATAGCATAATAGTATATACCACAACTTGTTCAGCCATTCCCCAATTGATGGGCATCCCTTCAATTTCCAATTTTTTTTTTTTTGGCAAGGCAATTGAGGTTAAGTGCCTTGCCGAGGGTTACACAGCTAGTAAGTGTCAAGTGTCTGGTCTGAGGTGGGATTTGAACTCAGGTCCTCCTGACTCCAGGGCCAGTGCTCTATCATGTGCCCTGCCTAGCTGTCCCTAATTCCAATTCTTTGCCACCACAAAAAGAGCTGCTATAAATATTTTTGTACATGTTAGTCCTTTTCCCTTTTTTATATGATCTCTTTGGGATACAGACCTAGAAGTGGTATTGCTGGATCAAAGGGTATGCACAATCTTATAGCCCTTTGGGCATAGTTGTAGGAGTGTTTTTTAAGGGCTGCTAGGAAATGCAGCCCAGTCAGAATGAATGCATTAATAAGCAAGGCAGGAACGAAACTTCTCTTGCCACTCTGATTAGCATCAAGCTAGTTACTTTCTAAGGTCTATTTCAGGAAGGGAGAGCCACTTCCTTTTATTAAAGCTTCAGAATTTGGCTCTTTGTTGGTATAGTACTTGTCGGTGAAGGAGCTGACTCTCTGTAAGTTTCAGCTTGCTAAAGATACTTTTTTTTTAAAAGATATTTACATTTTTTTCCACTCAGTTGCAGAATGAAACATTTACCAAATTAACTCTATCTAAATTCACTTTGTTGGAGAGAATATGTAACCCACACAACAATAACAATAACAATAGCTAGCATTTATATAGAATTTTATGATTTGCAAAGCATTTTACAACTATCTCATTTTATTTTCAAAACAACTCTGGGAGGTAGGTGCTATTTTTGTGCCCATTTTACAGATAAAGAACCTGGGGCTGAAAGAAGTTTAGTGATTTTTTTCAGGGTCACTTGGCCAGATTTAAATTTAGGACTTCCTGATTCCAAGTCTAATGCTCTATCTACTAAGCCACCTACCTGGTGTTTGTCCAGTTTGAGACTTTCTATTGATAGATAACTAAATGCCCTGGGATGTAACAGCATGTACTGAGAATGAAAGAAAGCAAATTAAGGTTAATAACCCCTCAGTTGCCTTGTACCTGTGGTGACAGCTGTGCATTGAATAGGTTGCCCAGAGCATGATACTGAGTTGAATGAAAATGTGCCTTTTCCTCTTCAGACTTGGGATGGGGGAGGGGGAGAGAGAAGGAACAAGCGTTATCAAGTACCTACTAGATGCCACTGTGCTAAGCACTTACAAATTCTATGTCGTTTGATTCTCACAACAGCCCTGGGAGATAGGTGTTGTTATAATCCTCATTTTATAGTTGAGGAAACTGGGGCAGACGGAGATTAAATGACTGCCCAGGGTCACATAGCTAGTAAGTGTCTGAGACAGGATTTGAATTCAGGTCTTCTTGAGCGTCCCACTTTAATCCACCCTCTACTCAGTCGACCCAGTACTCTATCCACTGCGTCACATAGCTGTCCTTGAGTATAAAAGACTTGGCATAAAAGATCATAGCATAGAGAGATATCAAGCCAGCTCTCAGATATGTGGTAGGCTGGATAGTTGAATTGTTTCTATCAAAAAAAAAAAATATGAACTATTTGTGCCCAATGTGTGGTAGAGCCTTTTGAGTTTATATCGGTCTGATTAATCACAGTTGGACACACTGTACTTTGACTCCAATACAGTGATATCACAGTGATATCATTTTGGCCTCTTTGAGAACACAAGACAACAAGCCAACCAAAAAAAAAAAGAAAAGAAGAAATGAATTTCAAAAAGAATACAAACTAGATTTATCATAATTCTCCTGTGTATTTTACTCTACCATGGTATGCAAATGACTGCTCAGAAAGATGACACAGAGGAACAGAGTGTATCAAAACAGCTGTTCTTTCTGAACATTATCATATGTCAGAGTTTTATATTTGTTAAAACAAAACAAGTTGCTGATTGCAGAAAAATCTCTTTAAGTGTGTAACTCATGACCCCAAATGGCCTCCCTACCTCAGGCTTATATAGACTAGACTCAATCTTGGGCTCAGCCCTAAGAGATCTCATTTTATCCCCTCCCAGAGTCTAGTCTAGGAAAATATAACTTGTGTTTAATTTGTGTTTAGGTTTCCAGGTCTTCTTCAGGCACTCAAAGTAGCAATGCATATGTCAGGTACAGGACAGCCTCACAGAAAATTAAAAAACAACATAAAGGATTCATAGGAGCCCATAAACAAAGCAGAAAACACATAAAGGGACACTTAGAGCAATTTGCAAGCAATTATCAGATTTTTCTTCCTCTCTGAGGAGGGCTACTGTCCCCAGGGTCCTAAAATCTTTCATACTCGTAATGTCACCCCGTGGCTTAATCTTGTCTCACAAGGCAAATGAACTTGGTACTGCTAGATAGGTAGCACCCTCCTATTCTGATAAATCTTATTTACTTTTGCCCCCAGAATACCAGTACAATCTTAGGGTATTATTGTGAGGGCAGAGACTTTGCTGGCAGGAAGACAAACCTGAGTTTGCTGGAAAGACCACCCATTTCACATTGTATACATACCATCTAACAGCAGAGACCAAACTTTGGTCAGTCAGTCAACAAGCATTTATTAAACACTTACTAAGTGCTGGGGCTAGAAAGAAAGGCAAAAGCATGGTCCCTGTTCTCAAGAAACTCAGATTTTTAACTGAGGAGACAACGCACATGTAATTACATACATTACAAAATATATCCAGTGTAAATGGAAGGTGATTTCAGAGGATCCTCCTATAGAAGATGGGTATTGAATTAAGTATTTTAATAGTATTTTATTTTTTCCCAATTATATGTAATGACAATTTTTAACATTAATTTTTATAAAATTTTGAGTTCCAATTTTTTTTCCCTCTCTCCTCTCCCCTCCCCTCTTCCTAAAATTGTAAATAATTTGATATAGGTTATATATGTGCAATCATGTAAAACATATTGCCACATTAGTAATAGTTCTGAAAGAAAAAACAGACCAAAAAGGAAAAAAAACCCACGAAAAAATAAAGTGAAAATAGCATGCTTCAATCTGCATTCAGAGTCCATCAGTTCTTTCTCTGGAAGCAAATAGCATTTTCCATCATGAGTCCTTTGTAATTGTCTTTGATCATTGTATTGCTGAGAAGAGCTAAGTCATTCATAGTTGATCATCACACAATGTTGCTGTTACTGTGTACTATGTTCTCCTGGTTCTGTTCATTTCACTTTGTATCAATTCATATAAGTCTTCCCAGGTTTTTCTGAAATCTGCCTTGGGCTCAGTATTAAAGTAAGCTAAGGAAGCCATGAGAGAGTGGGGTGAGGAGGGCATGGGGGACACTCAGTGCATAAACATGGAAATGGGAGACAGAGCATCATATGTGAAAAACAGAGAGGAGGTTAGTGTGGGTGGATCTTAGAGTACATGGAGGGGAATAATAAGGTGTAAGAAGACTGGAAATGTAAGAAGGGGCCAGATCCTGAAGGCTATTGGAAGCCAATGAACTTTATTGAGTTAAATATGTGATGTGGTCAGACCTATACTTTAGGAAACTCACTTTGGCAGCTGAGTGGAAGATAGATTGGAAGATGGCAGGGAGGCCAATTAGAAGACTGTTGATATAATCAAGAAGAGAGGTGATAAGGGCCTGTGTGAGCAGAGAGAAGATGATGTATAGGAGAGATAAAGATAGAAGGACCTGGAAATCTGCCAATGGTTTGGATGTGTGATGTGAATGTAAATGAGGAGGTGAGGACGCCACTGAAATTGTGAGCTTGGGTGATTGGGAGGATGGTGGTGACATCCTACTTGGTCATAGTAGAACAGTTGGGAAGAGGAAAGAATTTGGGATGAAAGATACTGAGTTCTGCTTTAGACTTTGAGTTACTTAGGGAACATCCAGTCTGAGATGTCCGAAAGGCAGCCCTAGAACTCAAGAGAGAAGTTAGGACTAGGAATCACCTATGTAAAGATGCTAATGGAAGCCATGGGAACCGATGGCGATTGTCAAGAGAGATTGTATAGAGGGAAAAGAGAAGACAGGTCAGGACAAAGCCTTGGGAGATACCTACAGTTAGTGTGTGTGAACTAGATAAAGATCCAACCAAGGAGAACCAGGAGAGAGCAGTCCCAGACTGAGAGGCTTTAGTCAGTCACCTGCTTCTCCCAATCCTGGGGTCTTCAAGGAACAGCACATAAGAAGAATTAAAAATGGACGGAAGACTTGTACAAA